TGACCTGAGATGACATGATGTGAATTGGAGCTATAGAAATAAACTGAATAGAATTGAATAATCCCATTAATAATGGAAGAGGAAAAGCTTTAATTCTGAATTGTTTTCTTGCAGAGACCCATCAGTGAAGAGAACTTTATGCAAGAAGTGCTGCTCATTGCTCATACCAGGTGTTACTGCCACAACAAGACAGAGGAGTGAGTCAGATGGGGATTTCAGTGTCGTGCTTTTTTTATTTGTTTCTGAATCGGTGGCTCTAAGCAGTCCAGTTATCGTTTGTAATAAATCTCCTATTTTTCCTATTTTTTGTTAGGAAAACACAGAAAGACTCGCTTCACTGTAGTGAAGTGCCTCAGCTGTGGCCAAACCAAGACTCTGCTGAATAATCCAGATCATTCTCTGTGGGTGGACCGACCTGAGGCACAGCTGGAGCAGCAGAAACAGGCTGGTGAGAGGCTTTGTTTTTAACAAAGACGATGCAGGATTTCCAAACTATTAATCAAATAATCTGTTTGACTCTGTCTTTGCTACAGACCCAACCCTGTCAGCTAAAAATCAGCCTAAAGACGGAAAGGCTGAAGGTTCACAGTCCTCCAAACCAAAGGATGCTCTGACTGCTGCCAGCACAACATCTTTAACTTCAGAAAACATTTAGCTTTATTCCAGTGGATCTCAATGAATACATCCTGTACATTTGTGAATTTTCTTTTTTTTTTTTCATCAAAAATGAACCCTTTTTTTTGAAAATTGTTTTTATTTTTCAAAATGCATATACTCCTATTACTGTTCAGTTAAAGTAAACCTCTTATTTCTAGTGACCATTTCTTGCAATAGTCCCTTTTTTTTCTGTTTGTCACTTTTTCTTCTTTTCGGGTTTGTCTGCTTTAGGGACTCTGAAGCGCGTCTTCTGGAAATACAGAAGGTTCTTGGTAAAAAGCCTGGGAATGTGTCCCATGTAGAGGAGAAGAGCCAGCATCATGCCTAGAGAGTAAATTATAACAGCAGGTCAGCAGAAGGCGTGTATTTACAGTGTAGCTGATGTGATGTACCTGTGAGAGAGCTCAGCCAGTAGACCACTGCATATTCTTTGAGGGTGAACCCAGGACAGTGGAAGGTCAGGCCGTACGCCAAGGATGGATTCATGTAAGCGGAGGTGTAGCTCCTGGCTAGGAAAGAAAAAACTTTGAATAAGTCAGAAGGTTTGGGCTGTTTGCTTGTTTATAGACAGACTTGTTTCTTTATTGTCCATTTGATATAAAGTTTTGAGACTCACCTGTGTGGGAGAAGAAGGTGAGAAGAAATGCGATGAGGGGAACTCTGATCAGAGCAGATCTACGTTGCAGGTTTAACTGGATGAGATGAAAGCTGAAGGCGCAGAGGCATTCTGTGAAGAAGCCTTGAACCACAGAGACCATCAGGGAGGTGGTGCATTCACTGGACATCAGGTTTTTGATCGTGTGCATGTCCGTCAGCTCCAAGTTCCAGTAGTACCTGGCTGCGAGCAAAGCCAGGTGAGCCCCGATGAACTGGGCTGCTACGGCGAGGGCTGTGGGCAGAGCGCAGGCCTCCACCTGCAGGAACTTCTGCACCGCCAGGCTGGGGTTCCCGGGCGTCCCGGCGCAGAGCACGCCGTGAATCAGCAGCAGGACAAACAGCATGGTCACCGTCACATCCTGGCCCAGGCCGCCGGCCCACTGACCCACCTCCACGATGGTCTGGATCTCCAGCCAGCATGCCACCAGCATGAAGGAGGAGGCAAACTCAGAAACAAAGCTGAAGCGAGGCCATCTTCTCAGGACCGTATGTAACAAACCGCTGAAAATCACCACAGACAAGAAGTATCCCAGTGACGCGTTAAGTCCAGACATGTCTGAGCGAAGCGGTCTTCAAAAAGAATGAATGAATGGTGGATCTAACTGTTGGGTTTCTGTCTGACAACGTGGCGCATGCACAGACACACTTCTTATCAGAGACACGTCAGGTTTGAACCACCTGCCAAAATACACACAGGCCTTCAGGTCAGGTCAGAGAGCCGCCTGTTTTTACTGACCATCCTGCAAACAGCCCTGCAACAGTTTTAAAATAAATATAGTTACAGCTCCATTGAACTGACAGGGCTATAACTTTAGGAGGGAAGTTCTGTCTAGTTGCTGGTTATTAATTGATTGATTGATTGACTTCATTGATCTCAGTGGAGAAATATAATCGTTACATCAGCTCAGACAGTCAGAGGTGAAGAAGGAAGAAAAATGTGCATCAG